CTTAAAAGTGTTCCGCCTAACGAGCCATACATTGCTCCTTATTGTGTATCAGTGCACCCGCGCTCTCTTCTTCGCTTAACAAAATGTGGATCCTCGCTACTTACGTATCCCCTGAGTCGTACGGTAACATTAAGGAATGTGGGACCTGCAAACTTGCCCTCAAAACACTGAAGAATGTATACGTCAAACCGTAAAATGAAATTGTCGCACGCGGCTCACTTGCTACCAGCAAACAACAAGGCGACGAAACCCTAGACAACCTCATGCGGAAGTTGAAGTCACTGGCTCAGGACTGCAATTTCAAAACGGTATCGGCAGAGAAGTACCGCGTGTACGCCATTCGTGATGCTTTTATAAATTGGCTTCAGTCCGCAAGGACACGTCGACGCCTCTTGGAAAACGTGTCGCTTGATCCCCACACTGCTTTTGAATAGGCCTGATCCCTAGAAATAACCTATCACCAATCACAGTCATACCAATCGGAAAACACCTATGGTGCATATACCACACGCCAGCCGCAGTCATTGCAAACAACCTGTGGCTCACCCTCTGTTAAGAGCGTCACCGCTGCTGTGTCACACAACAACTGTTTTTTCCGTTTGTTTAAAAGACAGTCGATCTCAGTGCCCTGCTCGTGACGCTGTTTGTAACGGTTACGGGCAAAAACCACTACCAGAAGGTCTGCCGTTCTACTGCGAAAAACCGCTTCAGTAGTTCAAACTTATATCTCTGCTGTCACAGTTGCAGCCTCACTAAACATTCTCTCACGCTGTCACCGATGTGCTCATCAACGACATTCTTCTAAAAGCGCTAGTTGACACAGAGAGCTCTGAAAGTTACATTTCTGCCTCAGTTGTTGAACACTTGAACCGAAAAGTCATGGGATCACATTGCAAAGTTTCGATAGCCAGTACCCATCTAACTAGTTTCATGAGTGATCATTGTGTTGTTACTGTGCAGTTTAAAAATCGCTATTACACCAACATTTAACTCTGTTTTCTCCAATCTATATTCTGATGTACTTCTGGGATGCCATTTTCTCAAACACCACGAATTTGTTAAAATTTCATTTTTCGGTGAAAAACCTCCCCTCTGTGCTCTGTGACCGCCGATGTGGCCCCCTATCTTTGTTCGGGGATGACTCTTCCACTTTCAAACCCATGACATCAATGACTTCTCGCTGCAGCGTATGGACCGAATTTAAGCCCCGCTTTTACAAACCATCTGGAACACTCATTTAAGGCAACGCATCCTTTCGAGAGGTTGAACGTAGATTTTAACGGCCATTTACCCTCATCAGCTAACAAAAAGTATCTCTTTACCGTTGTCGATAAATTTTCCAGATATCGAATTTGCCTTTGCATGCAGCGGCATGACAGCTTCTACAGTTGGTAGTTGTCTTACCCAACTTATCTGTTTCCGGTATGCCGCTTTACATTCACCCTGCTCGCGGTTCATCCTTCATGTCCCAAGAAGTACGAAACTTTCTCACCCAAAAAGGCATTGCAATCAGCCAACCGACGCCGTACGATCTCCAAGGTAACGGACAAGTGGAGCGGATTAATGGCGTCATCTGGAAATCGATCACTTTTGCACTCCGATCTAGGGGCTTCGCAATAACCCGGTGTGAAGGCGATCTGTTAGACGCTTTACACTCTATCTGTTCCCTACTTGACACCGTCACAAACGCTACTCCTTATGAAAGACTTTTCTCTTACAACCCTAAATCGACATCTAGGGTCTCACTACCGAGTGGGCTGAGTAATCCGTGGCCCGTCTTACTGCACCGTAGTGTGCGATCTTCAAAATATGAGCCATTTTGGATGAGGTCGAGCTAATGGACTGAAATTCCCGGTACGCTCACGTTCGCTTTCCCCACGAAAAGGAAGACACTGTGTCGCTGCACAACTTGGCATCGTCAGGACTGCGTCAGTCCATTAATTCTTCTACTCCTCCTCCCACAGATCACTCCAGTGAAACAGCTACTCATTTGGCAACGGACACTCACGTACCCCAAATTGTCCCCCTTGTCCACCTGACCCTTCACATCTTTACGAGCAGCAATAGCGAATGTGTGCTTGCTGTTTGTGTAACCGCGAAGTATAAAAATATCCCCCCGCACCATCATCCACAAACATCATGTCGGGAGAATGACGTATAAATTACATACATGAAGCTTAACTCGCAACCACTTTTCTGTCGTTATTTATCACAACCTTTCTATCCTCTTTTTCAGCCTACTCGATTCGCTTTCTTGCTGAATAGCCCTTATTCACTCGGTCTGTACTCATTTTCACACGGCGCGTTTGTTCTCCACCAATTTATATAGCAATACTACCCCGATCGTAGTTATTCATCTGAACTGTACTGTACTGATAGACAAACCGCATTTGTCCTTTTCCAATCCGGCTGTTACGTGATGCTTCATCCGCGACAACAACACGCTCAGGCAAGCGGCCACAGCAATCAACACAAATGGATAGCAAGTTATCGCCGGTCGACAGTATTACATATTGATATGAATCAATATCAGAAATCATTTCAAGGTAAAGAATTCTTTTCGGTAACTCTCCTCGGACCCAAACATTTACATAAGAGTGATTGTGGAGATAGCGTCAACTGGGGCTGGGATTGACTTCTTGACTGTTTGAATGACCAAGATCGATAACTTGAGACAGAGATAGAGATGGTAGACTAAGTAAACTAAATAAACATGTGTACACAAGCCTCAGTAGTACAATGTAATTAAGTAGGTAAGATAACAGCCAAATAACTAAGTAACGGTGTCTGTTGGCCAAGGTAGTAGTATCGGCCGTATAAATCGTTTTTGGACACATAATTCCGGATTTAGATGGTGAATGTACATAGCCTCGGCGATGGATAAGAGCTGTTTGCAGAATCCTTGAGAGAAGTGTTCAGATAATGAGTAAATGACTTTGAAGTCATTCTCTGAAGCTGTATGGCCACATTCAAGGAGGCGCGACATGATAGAGCTGTCTGAAGACCTCATTTCGCCTCTGTAAAACCATGCCGGGATGTGTTCACGAACCCTCTGAGATAGGCGCCTCGTCGTGCGACCCACGTATCGTGCACCACAGGAGCACGAGTACTGATAAGTGATCATTGAACGGGTCAACGGCGGTAGTCTATCCTTCAAGGGTTTTGTAAGCAACGGCATATTGTGAAAAACGATTCTCAGGCGGGCCGCGAAATACGGCCCGTTTTTGTTTGTTTTGTCTTAATCCTGCAGAACCACCACGGAATTTATTATTTAACACCGTTGTTTTTTCTATCTGCAAATCCTAGACGACCTTGGCCAACGGACACCGTTACTTAGTTATTTGGCTGTTATCTTACCTACTTAATTACATTGTACTACTGAGCCTTGTGTACACATATTTATTTAGTTTACTTGGTCTACCATCTCTATCTCTGTCTCAAGTTATCGATCTTGGTCATTCAAACAGTCAAGAAGTCAATCCTAGCCCCAGTTGACGCTATCTCCACAATCACTGTTATGTAAATGTTTGGGTCCGATGAGAGTTACCGAAAAGAATTCTTTACCCTGAAATGATTTCTGATATAGATTCATATTAATGAAATGGGAATCTTTGCTTTGCTGAAGATCAGCATTGCCCGTGATTCATTATTACATATTGGTCAGAACTAGAGTCAGTATAGGTCTCATGGTATCAGAGGTTGCATACGTCGCACTGCATGCTACCAGAGTCGTTCATCACGAGCTTTGATCAACTCATGCGCCGGCCAGTGACCGATAGGATCACAAGCCTTCCTTGTAGTCTGGAGTACGGGGGTTAAAGCCTGCTTTTACGGAACTGGGCGGCTCTCGCGGTATCCTTAGCCCACACGCGACTGATGATGGTTGTGTGGCAGTGAAGCGTCGGTACTACGTATCAGCGTACCGCTGCGCGCCGGGGGTGTGAATGGAAGAAGAGGAGGGGAGGCCAAGCGATTACTTGGTTAAGAGGAATGAAGGCTCTCACTTTGAACGGCGACTGTTGGTGTCTCCTGGCTGCCGGACTTAGGTCCGGAGGACCATAAGCACGTTTGTTTGGATGCACTGCCTGACGTCAGCTATACTCCGTAACGGCGTTTCGCTGCCGCGCGACCAATCAGCCACGCGTGGGTTAAGTGTGCCATGAAGACGCCCGCCTCTACGCGGATTCGAACTGGGAGTCCGACATGGTAATTTCAAACAGGAATCAAAAACGCAAAACTGGCACGTTGATACCTGCGGGGCAATCAACTCAAACATTGCATGGTCAAAATGAAGTGTAAAACGGATGGCCAAACACAAAGTACCGAAAAAATGTCCAGAACTGACTAGAAAAAACTATAGACGACATTTGGTTGCTATCCGGGGACAGCTACAACTTATTCCTAGAAAATGGCGATCTACAACTATTTTTCTCAATCAAAATTTGACGAAAGCCATTTTTTTCATGATACTCCAAACTGTCCTTTGAATGCAAAAGTCCCAAGGAGACAAGATGTAAAAATTTGTTACCGCCAACAGAGTGAGGAACACGTTCGATTGTCAGACTGGTCGTAACTAGCCTGAATTTAATCAGCATACTTTCTCGCGACTGGTGAACTTCTCGATAGCCTATCTATTCTTTCTCAAACTTGATAAATTTCCAGTGGACATATTATGTAATCACAATATATATGGGAACATACTAATCTTAGACGGCTATGCGGTGTTGATGCGCCTCCATCAGGTTCCTTCGATCTGTACTAACAGGAATTTGTTTTCCACTGAAACCACTGTTTTTCCTCACCAGCTACTTTAATCTCGTCAATGTGGCTATTTCGCTGCCGTTTGTCCGCCGGCTGTTACATTGTCGTTTTTTATTGTTCTCTTCTTCTGTGTTCGTACCACATTAACATACTCTTCGCCGTCAGTTACTGAGATTGTATAGACATTATGGTCTTTTGGTTTTTGAGACATTTCATTGCTGGACCGCCTTACTTTTCAGACGCATACTCTATCTATTTTACTACATGGGAAAAAGCTTTTCCCGGCCATACGATACTCTTCGGCGGTCACCAGATACCAGGGCTAACTCAGCACCAATATCCTGTTCACCGAACTGTTTTTTACAAGAACCAGCTTTTCACGATAGATTATGTGGCACTCTTTCCTCAGCTGGAACCACTACATCAAAACCCCATCACATCTCACGTTCGCTAAGAAACAGTTTACTTTGCGTGGTACGTACAGTCTGTTTTATCTGCTAGTCACGCTTATCACAAAACCTTGCTTAAATTTACGCTGCTTTGCTTCTGTTTCTGCATCCGATTTATTGTTCATGCACGTTATCTACTCTCATTTGATTGCCATGTGGTTTATGCTTTCTCCGTCTATATCGATTGTTACCGCTGCTGGGTTACTAAACTTTCCTCATTTTCACCAACGGTACTTTGCCTTTCATTGTCCCTTAACAATTTCCGCTTATGCGATTGCAATGAGACCAGTTTGTTAATATCAGTGATCCGGATTACAACCTCTTTTCTCACATTTCAAATATTTCATGGACAACACAACGTGACTAACTCGGCTCTTCTGTTTAGGGACCTCACGTGTCTCGACCGTCTGGTTAGGCACTATTTCCCGAATGTCGTCTCATTCCTTGTAGCTATTTTTGCATTTTTTCTTACCGCATACCTTTAGCTGCCTTTCGATTGCGTTCTTAAACCTGGAGTGATTGTTGTGGGCTAGTTTTTCTCCTATTTTGCATCGGGCATACTGACATTGTCCGATTCGAACATTGCACCATTTATACCACCTACAGAAATGTCAGCTTGTCACTAGCAACTATAGGGTTACTGATATCCGCTTAGGTTCACCAATTTATCACTTCGACGGAATCTCTTCTGGGGGGAGAACAGGATGATTACGGCGACGGACGGAGTATGCATGCCACACTCTATTATTTCCCAGAGCTGCGCTGTACTTGCTAGAAGCTTACCACAACTTTGTACCTCAATTTCAACAACACAGTCTATCACCGCTTTCTCCGGTATACTGTCCCGGAAAGTAGTTCGTGTTAACTTTTCGAGCTGTTTGCCTAGCCTAGATTGAGGTACGCCAGGTCGCTTCAATTTCTACGGAGCTCGTCAAAGTTCTCCCATTCCCCTTTTGCTCAACTTTCCCATTTGTTCCATCATGTTGCGTTCACTTTGAAGTCTAACGATGCAGCTATTAGAGTTCTAATTTAAGGAGCTATTTGGGTTTGAATTTGCGAATCACTTTTTGTTGTCACACAATCGACTTCTAACGCTCTATGGAGTTGTTCCATCATTTGCTGCGTTTTGCACACACAAGTTCGGGACGCTAATGCATGGTCATCGGCCACTTGCTATCTCTATGATTCTTGACCATAACTATGTTACCAGCGAGGTACTAGAGGATTCCGAAGTTAGTTGATACACGGTAAACGCCAAGACTGCCTTCATGGATTTGCAATTTCTTTGGCTACAGTGGCGTTTTGTTTGGTCTTAATCATTGCGCCTGCAGAACCACCACGGAATTTATTATTTAACACCGTTGCTTTTTCTATCTGCAAATCCTAAACGACCTCAAGCCGTTGACTATTATCGCCTGTTCACACCGGTGCGATACATGGTGGGGTACCAGGAAGTTGTAATTTGCCGGGTTCCACAAATCTGCAAAAAAGATTTTTTACTTCGACCGAAACACGTGCTTCATATGCTCACTGGTCGCCTACTACAGGGACTTAGCTTCCTCCACCAAGTTTGATCTGATGTGGGTTTTATGAAACTAACAGTTGACCTAGTATTAGGTGACCGAGTCGCAAACTAAATAATAATAATGTGTCAGCTGTACGCCGTAACGGCGCTTCGCTGCCGCGCGACCACCACCAGTCGCGCGCGAGCTGAGTATACCGCGAGGACGCCCACCCCTACGCGGATTCGAACCGGTGACCTTATGGTTGCAAAGCAAGCGTGCAGACCACTCGGCCACCGGCCGACGAGTCGCAAACTAGGACTACGCCGATGATATCACTTTGCTTGGAGACGATCCACAAGACATCCAGAGCGCTCTGACCCGCTTAGCGATGGAGGCATCTAAGTATAGCCTGTGTTTCACACCATGCGAGTGTAAAATACCACTCCAAGATTGGCAGATGACCGTTCCTGCCCTCACCATTGCTGCTGACGTCCTGGAATAAGTCCACCTCTTCACTTATCTGGGGAGTTGGATCACAGCTGGGGGCTGTTTTAAAGATAAGGTCTCACAACAGATCGCAAAGCCCCGCCTTGTATTCATCAGTCTGTGATAGGCATTGGTTTGACATACTCGCTGTGGATGCGCTTGGTGTGCATGTTGACAAGGTGCCTACCTGTCTATTACCCACTACCTCGTCCATACTGGCTCCAGGAGACAGTTAGTCGTTGCTAGAGGGGACGGGGTGCACGGTCCTTGTGGTCGTGTTAGGATCAAAGAGTGGTTCCATGCACTCAGTGTGGAGCGGACTACAGTCCAGCCACCGCCTTGTGTGCACTTGATTCCCAAATACAGCGTGCTCGTGTTTGCCTGTGAAGGAGTGTGAGCCGGCTCCGTTGATGAAACTTGGCTCTCATCCGCATACCTCCCTGTCTTATTCTTTCGAGTTTACACTGGATATGGGTGTAGTTGGAGCTGTGGGTGGTGCAACGCATGCCACCCTTGGCCTTCAGTAGGCGCAGGCATCCTTTTGCTGTCCTATGGAGGCCACAGTGATAGGTAAATCCGGAACCGGATGTCACCAACCATGACCCAATATATGAGCGTACGAAATCTAGGTTGCTTACTGTCGTGCGCGATCGCAAGTACGGTGATTTGCACTGCCATTGTGTGCTTGTGAAGACTAAGTTATCTCTATTCTGAGCAAGTATTTGTGAGGTCTGTCTTTATTGAATGTGATATCCATTTTTCTGGTTTCGTAGTTCACATTTGGACTAGTTTTGCATTGATCTGGGAGTTCTTTGCGTTGGTCAGCAGTCCTAAGAAATTTCGCCTTTTACCCCGGACCCGTTTTGTTCTTGTTTCCATTCAAAATTATTGTCGCAGAATTCCGGATTCAATTTCCTCTGAAACATTCGTCTCACTCACTGGTCCCATCGCTATGGGTTCCTATCTTGTGCAAATGTTGTCCTTCTACCCGATAACCAGATATATATATATATATATATATATATATATATATATATATCCATATCCATATCCAGTGTAAACCCGAAGGAATAAGACCGGGAGGCGTGCGGATGGGAACCACGTTTCATCAACGGAGCCGGCCCACACTCCTTCACACTCAAACACAAGCACGTTGTATTTGGGAAATCAAGCGCACACAAGGCGGTGACTGGACCGTAGTCCGCTCCACACTGAGTGCATGGAACCGCTCTTTGAGCCTATCACGGCAACAAAGACCGTGCACCCCGTCCCCTCCAGCAACGACCAACTGGAGCCAGTATGGACGAGGTAGTGCAGCTGACACATTATTATTATTATTTTTATTAGGCACCTTGTCAACATGCGTATCTAGTGCAGCCACATTTGGGATGTCAAACAAAGCCAAACGCTTGAAATAATCTTTTAAAATAAAATATATCCCTTAAAGAATACAACTATACCGACTTAAATCTTCGTTAAATTAACATATGAAGTAAGTTGGTTAGCAACGAATCCGCGGTACGTGCGAAATGACCAGACACACTGAAGTTAACGAACATAACCAGAACTAGTGTAAACAACGTAGCCAGTTAATAGAACATTCAGGGTATTGGTGCTTTTGTAAGTATGGAATTTTTGTAGAAAGTAGAAGCCTCGATTTAACTTTTCACAATAATCTGCATCGATAGGGAATCTAACCTTGGACATACGGATTACCTGTCCGCTGCTCTACCAATTGCGCTACCGAGGACTGACGGTCGGGTGCGCAATTTTTCTGAGGTTTTCCTTCTCTTATTTTACTTGTTGGTATGGCCTCACCTATAATATTGTTTGCAGGCTTGGGCGCCGTATCTCCGGAACATTCGTGCTTGCGTAGAAAATCTCCAAACATTGGCAACTGAGATGATTGCATGTCAGCCTGGGAAGTCATATGATAAACGCCTTAGTAGCCTAGGATTGTTTTCCATGGAACTGCACAGATTGATAGCAATGTACAAAATTAGGCCTCGATAGTATCAGGCTTTCCGACCTGTTTGAGTTAGCTGCCTCCGACCACCTCCTGTGAATTCTAGTGATATTTCCACTCAAGGCAGTTAGAAGCTTGCTCCGATTATGAATTACACGATTCGCAAAGTATTTAGGTATAATTTTTATCCTTGACCTCTGATACTTAAGCATAACTTCATGTCTCTACAGGCATGTGGTTGGAGGCATCCGGAGTCGGATTTACCTGTCACTATGGCCTCCACGAAGACATCCGCCTTACGCTGCGCCAGCAGAGGGACTATGGGCGGTTTGCGCTGCACCACCCACAGCTCCATCCACATACCCCATATCCAGTGTAAACCCAAAGGAATAAGACTGGGAGGCATGCGGATGGGAGCCACGTTTCATCAACGGAGCCGGCCCACACTCCTTCACAGGCAAACACAAGCACGCTGTAGTTGCGGAATCAAGTGCACACAAGGCGGTGGCTGGACCGTAGTCCGCTCCACACTGACTGCATGGAACCACTCTTTGATACTAACACGACCACAAGGACCGTGCACCCTGTCCCCTCCAGCAACGACTAACTGGAGCCAGTATGGACGAGGTAGTGGGTAATAGACAGGTAGGCACCTTGTCAACATGCACATCAAGCGCAGCCAAACCTGGGATATCAAACAACAGGAAATCACTCAAAATGCCGCTATCGAATAAAGTAAACGCATATGACGACATAAATATTCGCAAAATGAGCGTATAGAAGAAATTGGTTATAAGTGAATCCGTGATAAGTACAAAATGTCCGAGTTATTTAAAAAAATACCACGATACAATTACGCAAGTTTACCACAATTTGCATGAGCGACGTGTGTAAGTTGGGAGAAGATTATCAAATACGCGGAACGAACCAAATAAAATGTAACGAATTTTATCCACATTAAAAGAAGTAATTTAAGTGTAGGTTGGTTTAGCCCAACTGCGGTGAAGAAGCATCATGAATGCGACATCAGCCTCAGCATGGGGCATATATATATATATATATATATAT